CTAACGCTCATATCATCACCACTCGGCTAGAAATTTTTGGAAATTCTCCTTTTTTTATTTTTTCGCTATTTTCATGCTCCTTATCTCTGTTGCTACGAATTGTTTGAGCAACATCTAGCTCTTAAGTTCCCCTCGAATTTTTTGCTTAACTAAGACAACATTGTGAACTGGGTGTGAGTATCTCGCTGTCGTAAGATTTCTAGACTTTCTTCTAGTTAATAGTGTTGTTTTCGAAAACACATCGAGCATTGCCTTGTTTGTTGTTGGAAAATCTCTCAAATTAAGTGATATGGCTTGCTGATGCTTTGAAAGAAGCCAACTGAAGTTAGAATTTGCAAAAACTTGGTTTACTTTGAAAAAAGGGTGAAATAAATTAGCAATTCAAACTAGAGCTTATCTTAGTCATATTTAGTCAACGTGGAAAACAGTTATAACCTATTGTAAGAGGATTTGCTGTGCGCTAAACACTTCTTTTTTGATTTTCTTTAGTCTCGCTCAAATTCAAATGTTTTTATTCCTGAAATTTAAATGTTTCAGCGAGTTCTCCAAGTTGTTCTGCAAGGCATTGGTATTGCCGCTGTAGCTCATGCTCACTTCGCCCTCCGATTAATTTCAGGGCCATCCCCAAGCAACGCTGGTGAGCTCCCAAATGCTTATTCTCCTCTCTATTACTTTTTTTTGCCATAATTTCCAGGCGACCACGTATGGCTACATCCATCTTTGCTCGTCTCGAGTCTTCGACATATCTATGCGCGGTTTTTACCGTCCAGTTCCGTTTCGCAAGAACTTCGGTTCGTGGTTTTCGCACAGCTGTTCGCGATTCTATTGAATAGCACTGCGCTGTTATGTAACGCTCCAAGCTTTTTTTTTGTTTTCCTGTCGGTTCCACCTGAATTGGTGGCCACATAATCTTCCAAGCTGCCCTTTTCTTGTTTTTTGTTCTTTTCAACTAGCACATAGTGGCTGTTTGGTTGGAAGTCTTCAGAGAATTGAAAGGAGGTGTGGGCCGGCCTGAGAGGGGGCAATGGTAATTTATGAGAAAGTAACGGGTTTCATCCATACTTTTCACAGTTCAATGCCCTATTCCTACTTTGAGTAAGAAATAGAAAGATCAGCGTATTTGTCAACTTGCATGGGTGATAAAAGCAATTCTACAGCTGGTCATTGCATGACGGCTGTGAGGGCTGTTCGCAATTAAGGGTTGTAATAACATACGTTTTCGTGCTAACATCCGATTGAAGCGAGAACGCACATTATAATCGGTTAGCAATTGGGAAGATTACTGGTGAGGTGTCGGCGTGATCGGTCTCGGGGATATCTCCGTAGTAGAAGGAAATTACAAAAAAAATTTATATTGTTTCCCTCATTTCACATGGATAGATGTCTTATTAACAATCATCTTGTTGTTTTCCTTAGAAAAGATTTTTTGCGACTAATGTGAGCCATAGAACCTAGGTTTTGCGAGGAACATAGAGAAATTATCAGTGAAGTTTGACGTGCTCAACAACTCTTCTTGAGGGATACTCTTCTCTCCAGACGATCCTTGTGCTTTTAACAATAATAAAAGAACTATTTGGAAAGACAAAGCTTAAGTTTCGCTTGAATTTTTTTTTGTTGTTTTCATAATGGAAAGTTGAAACTACTTCAGAAGTCTGAAAATTCAAGGAAATGTTTTATTGAGCAACGTTAATTTCTTTTCTCTATCAACTTTTGCGATCTAACGTCATATTCGTTTGTTATCATACTAAAGTGAGGCCTACATCAGACTTGTTTTAATATAAACTTCTTTTGTAATCCTGTCATTCACACAGACCACATGCATCTTCTCTTTCCTCTTTTTTTT